AAATTTAACGAGAAAATTGGAAACAAAACAAAAAAAAACAAAATGAATTTAATCGGAAATTAAAAAAATAATCAAAATTAAATTCGCAACTAACACAAAAATCATCTAAATAACCATACAAACCACTTGTAAAACATGAAAAAATCACAATGCGGTTCAAATAAATCATAAACACAGATATTTCTCAGGACTTTGCAACATAACAAAAAACATAATAACGTCTCACGCCTCACATGCTCTCCCATTAACGAACTGAAAAAAAAAACCTCGAAAAGAAACACTCTGTTACTTATTCTATACTTGCGAATTAATATTTTATGTGATATTTACCATAGAGAGAAGCAAAGCTATAAACAAATTAACCACTGGTGCTAAATCGAAAAAACTCTATCCCTCCTGCTTCTCGCGACTGCTCCACTGATATAGAATATAAAAACATAAACAAAAAGAAAATATAATCGAATCAATTGAAGGAAAAAAAAAAAAAAAAAAAAAAAAAAAAAAAAAAAAAAAAAAAAAAAAAAAAAAAAAAAAAAAAAAAAAAAAAAAAAAAAAAAAAAAAAAAAAAAAAAAAAAAAAAAAAAAAAAAAAAAAAAAAAAAAAAAAAAAAAATAAAAAAAAAAAAAAAAAAAAAAATAAAAAAAAAAAAAAAAAAAAAAAAAAAAAAAAAAAAAAAAAAAAAAAAAAAAAAAAAAAAAAAAAAAACGAACGGAGAACAACACAACTCTATGTCTTACGCACACAACTCAACACGAAAGATAAAAAAACAAAAAAAAAAAAGAAAAAAAAAAAAAAAACTAGCAAAACAAACTAACACAAAAACACGATACAAAACAGAAAACCTAAAAAAAGAAATAAAAACGAACAATATTACACGATAAACAATCAGAAACGAAAATATAGACGATACAATACATAAAAACAACATAAACACACACTGAAAACGATATTTTGGCGTAAGAAATGTAAAAAACACATAAATGTGTGCAACAAATGTGCCACAAAAAGACAAAACAATCCTTGAAACCAACAAAAAACAACACGAAACATACGAAAGATTGTCTCACACATGAAAAAAAAACACATCTGTGACCAAATTGCAATAACATTTTCCATCTTGTGTAAATTCGAAATTCTAAAATCTGTTAAAAAACTGAGAGACAAACAATACTTCTAGAATAATTCTCCCGATTCGATAATTGATTCTGAAAACTTGGAATTCTTTGTTGCAAAACGAAATATGTTCTGGTTCTCGAAAAAAAACAATGTACTACAATCGATGTTCTTATTATAATATCTCTATATCTCTCTACGCGGCAGCCGCTAGAGATGAGAAGGAGCCACGTAAGAAGAAAATAAAATATCGCATCTCTGGCGCCATGGCCTGGACTGTACGCGAATTTAAATGGCCCGAATAGAAGCGACCGAGAGACGCGAGGGAGGAGGAAAGAGAGGAGAATACGTTCAGCACACCTAGACAGCTGTGAAGTTAAATGAATTCCTCTGTAATTTTTCTGATCATGCATCGCCTCCTTCTTGTATATAGGACAAATGTGATGCAATCGCCAGCAAGAAGGCCCCAGCACACCTAAGGCGATCAGGAGGGTCATCGGGGACGTCCCAGATACCCCCAAGACAGCACAAGAGCGCTCTCAAGATGGCCCAAGAGGCCTCCAGGACGGCCCCAAAGAGGGCTCCAAGAGCACTCCCAAGAAGGCCCCTCGAGGCAAAAATCATTGATTTTGCAGTTCTTGGTGAATTTTTGGGCTCTCCTTTTTTCCGCTTCCCGACGTTCCAAGACGGCGGTCTTCTGGGCGTCTCAAGCCGCCTGGGAGGCTTTAAAATTGCCCCACAACCATCCGAAAAAGGCTTCATGCAATCCAAGAGAGCTCCAAAACGACACAACACGGGTCCAAGATGGCCCTCAGAGAGCCCCATGGCGGCCCAAGATGGCCCAACGACACCCTCCGAAACGTTCCAAATCGTGACCCGATCGTTCAGGGAGACCGCGGTTGGAGGCAGGGTGGCCCGAGGAAACCCCCGGAGGCCCCCAGAATACGCCCAGGAGGCCTCCAGAAAGCCTTAAGAAACCGGAGACAACTTTTGTGAGACCCCCAAAGGCTCTCCAAAGAGGAGCCTCCGCCAAAAAAAGCTGAGGAGGATGAGGAGAATGCCCAGGGTATGGCGAACATAAGGAAAAAACATGAAGGATACCGACTAACATTATTATAGCGCCGATGCCGGAAACAAAACAACAAGGAGTTATCGGTAAATTGTCGGCTTGACCTTCCTGTTATTCCGCCTGCGTACCAAGCTTCCAGGACCAAGGTGCATGGCGCGAGGCGCCACTGCAGTCTTGTATATATGTATATGTATGTATGTGTATATATATACACACACAAGACTGCAGTGGCGCTTCGCGCCATGCAGCTTGGTCCTTTAAGTTTGGTATGCCGCCGAAATAGCTGGAAGTCAAAACCGACAATTGAGCGATAACTCGTTGTTGCCTTTTCCGGCATCGCCGCTATAATAATGTTATTCATGACCCTTCCTCCATGCTTCATTTTCCGTATTTTCGCCATGCCCTGCGCATTCTCCCCATCCTCCTCGGCTCGTTTTTGCGGAGGCTCCTCTTCTAGGGGCCTCGCAAAAAATTGTTTAAGCCTTCTGGAGACCTCCTAGGCGTATTCTGGGGGCCTTCGGGGGGCTTCCTCGGGCCACCCTGCCTCCAACCACGGTCTTCCTGAACGACCGAATCACGATTTGGAATTCTTCGGAGGGTGTCTTTGGGCCATTTTGGGCCGCCATGGGGCTCTCTGAGGGCCATCTTGGATCCGTGTTGTGCCGTTTTGGGGCTCTCTTGGACTGCCCGGAAGCCCTTTCGGATGGTTGTGGGGCGATTTTGGAGCCCCCCAGGCGGCTTCGAACGCCCAGAAGACCGCCGTCTTGGAGCGTCGGGAAGCCGAATAGAGGAGAACCGCAGACGTCACCAAAAACCAACAGAAAATCAATGATTTTTGCCTCGGGGGGCCTTCTTGGGAGTGCTCTTGAAGGCCTCTTTGGTGCCGTCCTGGAGGCCTCTTGGGCCATCTTGAGGTCACGTCGGTCACTCTTGGAGCGCTCTTGCGCTGTCTTGGGGGTCTCTGGGACGTCTCCGATGACCCCCCTGATCGGCCCAGGTGTGCTGGGAAGGCTTGGCAAAACGCCCTGCGAGGCCTGGGGGCCGTTTCGAGCCCCGTCTGGAGGTCCCCCAAGCCCCAAATCCCGTGAGTCCGTTTTTTTTTGGGGGGGGGGTGACGGGTTTTCCTCCCGCCCGGGCTTGTAAACATATAGGAAGAGACATATATATATATATATATATATATCTATACACACATATACACACTACACATACACATATACATACATTACATACATATTATATATATATATATATATATATATATATATATATATATATAATATATATACATATACATATACATATACATATTACATACATATATACGAACGCATCGTGGGGTGTCTGGAATTGTAACACCATTCCTGTGCAACCATGCATTTGCCCACCCAACACGCAATTCAACTGTGATACACACCTAAAACGGTATTGTGTTCAACGGCCGATGCCATTCACATCCACCATCCTTTTTTTTTTTTTTTTTTTTTTTTTTTTTTTTTTTTTTTTTTTTTTTTTTTTCTTTTTTTTATATATTATTATTATTATTATATTATTAAAAAAAAGCAATGAACTATAACCTTAAAGATCTCATGGGTCCCTGTGAGTGCCCAGGGCCTCGGGCGGCGAAGACGAAAGGTCGACCACGCTCCCGTGGCAACCCTCCCTACGGACGGAAGCCGACGGCGGAGAACACAGCACAGCGGTGGCAGAACGTGCGACAGTAGCTCTGCGCCCCAGACAAAAGATGCCAGTCCTAGCACTCGAAACCTGGACCCCGTTCGAACAGGGAGCGAGCACGAAAAGGAGGGGGGAGGAAAGAACGGAAGGAGGAGAAAGCGAGCCAAGGAAGCAAACGACCGAAAGATATAAGCACCCCCGGCTGTATATCACCGGAGAGACAAAGGATGACCAGCAATATAGACTTGGCAACTGATAAACTGGGCGCGGAGCCCGAATGCCCAACCGAGGCCTGGAGCGGACCAACGGAGGCTCCGAAGGACCCCGGAAGCCAGGCGGACCTGAGGAGGCCTGGCAGCAGGGCAGTGGGCGGTGCCAACGCCCCCATGCAAGAATTCAAACGGTGAGACGGCCGAGACGGCATGCGGGGGGGGGCGGGGAAGAGACAAGGAGAGGAGGCGAAGATCCGGCCCTCCCCGAAGGGGATCGCCGGAGCTCCAACCCCGAGAGGCGAGCGCGGGAGGAGGAGAAGGAGGAGAGCGCGGGACCTTCGCAGAAGGCGTGGCCCCGCGAGCGCCAAGGCTGTCGCTACCAACCACGTTGCTGAAACCACACTCGCACGCTGTACAAGCATTGGGTCGGTTTCAGTCTAGGCCGCCTTGGGCACGCAACGAAAATGTAACGAGATTCGGCGTTGGGCGGCAGCTGATGAGGAACAAAACCGCTTTCAAATGCAACCTTGTCCGGCCGTGCCGCCGAAAAACATGGTTGTGAGAGCATTCGCCAGCTGCTCAACTGTCCAACTGTTCGCTGTTGGCTCCGTCTGTGCGGGAGCCCCCTCCGAGCAACCCAACACCTAAGATCAAAACCAAGCGGCGCGTAAACCAGCAAAGCGGAAAATAAACGCATGGGCCGGTATCGAGTAAGCCAGCCTAGAACACGCAACGAAAATGTCACGACATTCGGCGCGCGGAGGCTGCTGCACCCTTCTCTGCGCGCACTGCCAGCAAACATGGCCCAGACCGTTTGGACCAGGCAGGAGAAAAGGCAAGGAGGAGGAGGAGGAGGAGGAAGAGGAGGAGGAGAGGCGCCGCTGTGCAGCCGCCTCAAATGCGCCGCGCCCCCCCGTCGCCGTCAGCGCCAGCCCGTGGCCGCGGCTCTTGCAGCTGTCGCAGGATCTCGCCGAAGAGCCGCGAGACGTCCAGACGGGGTCCGGCAGTGTGCCAGAGCGTGGTGTGGGCCTTGTACCCCACTGCGATCATCGTGGCTACTCCGGCGACCTCGTCAGGGGCGGCCCCGACCTGCCACAAGAGCGCCCGAGTGGTGCGGGCCTCGGAACTGCCAGGGTCGCGCAGGCCAAGCCTGTCCACCCCGAAGCGCCACAGCCGCGGGCAGCAGACGTAATGCCTGACGTCGTCCTCGCCCCCACTGCACCCGAAAAGGCAGCCACCGCCGCGAGCGCCGAATCGGCGCCCAGTGCACCAGCCGTTCAGCCACGTGCGCAGCACTGCGGCCCGCACCCGAGGCGGCGTTGTTTTCGGGAGCCGTTGCATGACCAAGCGGCATCGCTGGGCTCGCCGACCTGGCAAGGAACCTGGGTCGCGCCATGTCCGGACCTTGGCGCTCAGTGCCGAAAAGCCAGTGAGCCGCCAGTGCCGGCGCCGCAGCAGCGCCGCGGCCGAGGCTTGGATGCGCCGCTGGGACCTTCTCCAGGTCGCGAGCGTGACCGGGCGCGGTCCGCGACCCAGCCCCTGATCTAGCACTCGCGCCTCTGTGACCCCCTGGCGGGACAGGTCTTCCACCGCGGCCTGCAGCCTTTGAACTGGCCCCCCCGTGAACCAGCTGTGCCATCTCCAATCGATTTCCCACGATGCAATGGCATGGTAGCGGGCGCGCTGCAGCCGAATCCGCATCTCGTCCAAGCGGATGCGCTGGCGATGGTCACCTCCAGCAATGGCCACGCGAAGCTGGGCAGCAGGCCCCGAAGTAGTGAGCGACTGCACCTGATACGGCATCTGGAATTCATCACGCAATTGCTGGGCGACCCCGGGTGGGAGCCAGTTGAACGGGCCGGGGAAAAGCTTCTGGATCGCCCACCGCTCCAGCGACGGCCATTCAGGTGGCGCCCCCTGCAACTGTGCAATGTATTGCAGCTTCGAAATTGCAAACACGTTGTACGCTAAGGTCGCCAGATGCATCCCCTGCGCCAGCCCCGCCCACGTGCAGACCGCCTCCCTGAACTTCCGCACGGGGGCGTCCCAGCCGCTGTCTGCCGCCGCGGGGCCCACTTCGAAGCCCAGATAGGTGCCAGAGTGAGCGACCCGCACGGCCCCCCAGGCCGGCACGGCCTGCCGCCAGGCGTCGGTTGCGGCCCCGGGCTGCCACGTCCACAGCGGCAGCAATACAGTTTTCGCCAGGTTCAAGTGCAACCCCGACACTGCAGCGAAGAGCTCGAACAAGCTGTGCAGGCGCGGCCACGCCCGTGGTCCGCCGGCGCCCACCAGCGCGAGATCGTCCGCGAAGGCGCAGCGCGCTCGGCGGCCTTCGACGGCGTCGAGCTGGCGGTTGAACGGCTCCGTGACGAGCACGAAGAGGAGGGGGCTGAGAGGGCGCCCCTGACGAATCCCCGCCGTGATGGCGAATCCCTCCCACCACTGCCCAGCCATCGCCAGACAGCAACGCTGCCCTGTGTAGAGTGCGCGGATGGCGGCGCGCACGCCCCTCGGCAGCCCCAGCTTGTCCAAAACATGGTGTAAGTAGTCGTGCTCCAGGCCGGGGAACGCCGCCCGCATGTCGAAGAGAAGGGCATACGCCATGTCATCCTCAAGGGCCGCCACCTGCATCGACGCCTCGAGGTCAAGGACGTTGGCCAAGATGGAGCGGCCGCGGAGGAAGCCCCGCTGGCTCGCGCCCACGAGGCGCTCGATCGCCGGCTCGATGGCGTACCGTAGGGCGCTGGCCAGCAAGCGGTTCGAAGTGTCCACTAGCATGAGCGGCCGTGTGTCTGCTGGAGCATAAAATGCACCAGCTGCGGGGTCTTGCCCGGTTGGTTTCTTCGGAAGCAAAGCCAACAAGCTGCCGTTGAAGTCGCAAGATCCGAACCGGTTGTCCCCCGCGCCGTACTCGCGCATCATAGTCTCATCAGAGCCCTCTGCCATCATCGCCTGCAGGGTGTCCACAAGCACTTCGACGCCGACCTCGCCGATGCCGCGCCAGAAACTGTAGGGGATGCCATCTGGCCCTGGGGCTGTGGCGCCGGCGCCTTTCAGCGCCTGGCGAACGTGGGCGGCAGAGACCTCGCACTCGGGCATCACCTCCGCGAAGGTCGGCATCCCGTCGAACCACGGCGAGATCCTCTCCAAGTTGCCGACCCCTTTGGCTCGGAAATGCTCGGCCCAGTGGCGGACCAAAGCGGGGGCAGCACGCTGCGCGTCCGTGGTGATCGAGCCGTCTCGCAGCTGGATCGCCGACAGGGCGTGCTCCGACCTCGGCCGAAGGCGGCGTGGAGTCTGCAAGGCCCGGTGGCGCCGCCCGCGAAGTTCTCCTTCGGGCGCGCCAGCCCTCACGGCCGCCTGCACCTCCTCGAGCTGAGCCCGTGCCAGCGCCTTCGCGTAGCCATAAGCCGCATCCTGCAAAAACCTCTGGGCGTCCAGCGGCAGCATCGCCAGGCAGGGGGCGAGTTCGGGCACCGCCGCCGCCATCTTCAGCAGCAAAGCGCGGTCTTGACGGCGGACGCCCTGCAGGCCCCGCATAGACCAGGACAGGCGGCCATCAACGTCGTCATGCGGCAGCTCTCGCGGGGCGGCGCGCTGAAGGCCCAGGGCCGCCTCGGCCATTGCCTCCTTGAGGAGTCGGAGACGCCCGAAAGGCGATGCGGCTGCGCCGGTGCTATCGTGGGCGAGCTTGTCGGCGAAGAGCAGCATCGTGCGGTCCCTCCACGCCGGGCAGTGCCCCATCTCCGGAGCCAGACCGCGCCCGGCGACACCATCGCGGGCCCCTGGCGGCGCGCAGCGGAACACGGAGATAGCCCGATGCGTGCTGAGCGCGCGACCCATCGATCCCGAGTAAGCCCAGTCCAGCGCTGCCGTGCCCACCAGCTCGTTGAGGAAGCAGCTGGGGTGGAGATTGGCATAACACCGATCCAGACGAGACAGGACCCCCTGATGTTGGTGCGTGTACGCCGTGTTTCGCCACAGGGTCATGTCAGTGCCCTGCAGCTGCTGCCCCAAGTGCTGTTCCTCACTCCGGTCGCGCCCGCCACTCGGAGAGTGACCCTCGACCTGGATGCGACCCAAGTCGTCCGCAACCCAATTGAAGTCCCCAATGAGGAGACTGAGGCGCCGCGAAGCAGGTGCAATATGACTCGCAACTGTTCGTCGCATCCGCTGCCGGGATGTCTTGGCTGTGATCGCCGCGTCTTCCTCGTCCTGCTCGTTTGAGCCTGTGGCGAAGTAGACGGCGAAAATGGAGAGATCGCCATTGTCGCCGTTGAGCCACAATTCGCCGGCGCGCCCAGGCACAAGGATACGCCAGTCCGACTGGAGAGCGAATCGCCGCAGAAACCCAGTCGCGACGATCACGCCCACTCCCGCTCTGGCAGAAGAGCCATGCGCCCAGAAGGCCGGGAACTCCCCAAAATACGCCTGCCCATCGCGGGTGTTCAGCGCCTCCACCTCTGGCGTCGAATGCGTCTCCGTGACGACGACCGCGTCGTGGTCGCGAAGGAGACGGCGAATATGGGCGCCTTTTTCCTGACGGCTGCGCGGACAAGCGGCAAAGAGACCCTGGGCGTTCCACGTGGCAACTCTGAAGTCGCCTGCATATGGGCCTAAGCCGCTGTCCGTCCGCGGACGCTCCAATCGAGGGGGCAGCGATGGCGGCGGTGGCGGCTGCGATGCCCCCGAGCGTGGCGGCGCGGCCGCCGGGGGCAGGGTCGGCGCTGCAGGTAGCGTGGCCTGCTCGCTGACGGTTGAGGCCACCCGCCTTACTCGAAAACGGATGAACACAACATGGAGATCACCAGCCTCGAACGGGCTCTGGTGCAGGCCGGCTGGGTCGCCTAGCACCGGCGGCCGTTTCCCGGCCTAGCTGCAAGCGGGGTGAGCTGCACGTCCAGGGACACCAAATCGACCCCCAGCTGGAGACCACGACCATGGAGAAGCTCATGCAGGTGACGGGCCTCGGCCGGCGAGCGGACGGCCAACTCCAGGCGTCCAGTCAGGGCGCCCGCCACTGCGCCATGCTCGGGCCGAAGGGTGTAGGCTTCCAGAGCCTCGTCCTGACGGATTCGCCTCACCTGTTGACCTAAAGCCTTGTGTATCATGTCGCCCACCGCCTGGACGACGTGGTCTGGCCGGGGGCCAGGGGGGCCCTGCAGCTGCACCAGGAGGCGTGCCGATACCTCGTCACATCGAGCCGCGAGTTGCCGCTGCCTGTTCGCCGTCCCGGGGGCGGAGACCCAGAGACCCCCCCCGTTGACGAGACGCTTATGCCGGAGATGAAAAACGCACCGCTGCGGATCCGCGGTCTGCCACTCCCTCATGTCCTCCTCCCACTTGGTCTCGTCCAGCCTGGTGCGAATCACCGCGGTCCGCGTGCTCAACGGGAGGAGTTCCAGGCAATTGCCCCCTGCCACCGAAAGGGCCCCCGGCCCCGTGGTGGTCATGATCAGCGCCGTGTCGTCCATGAAGATGTCGTCGCGGGCGGCGACGCCACCCATCGGCAGGAGCAGCTTATGAAGCTGGCGGGCGAAGACTGCTGCATCCATCCCTGTGCACGCGGCGTCGCCGGAGTACAACGTGAGGCGCAGTCGGGGGTCCGCCTTCTGCGAGGCGGGGCTCCGTCGAGGTTCGGACTGCCTCCATCCCGTTGCCAGCACCGCAGCACTCACCTCCAGCACCTTGGCTTCGGTCCGCGCCGGGAAATCGAGGCTAATGGTCGCCACCCCCACCGCGACTTGCTTCCAAGGCTCCTCCATTGTCAGCGACGTCGGCAGCACAAGTAGCGCTTCGCGCTGGAAGGTGAGCAAACCCAGAGGTCGCCACGATACCTGCGGGAAGCGGCCGCCCGGGCTAATCTGCTCCAGCGGCTGCAGCATGAATTCCACCTTGGCCAGCACTCCCGCCCATCGCTCTCCCAAGCCTGGGTGAGACCAATGCTGCAAGATTGCCGTCGGCGTGGAGCAGCCGGGCAGATCGTCGAGGGGGCACGCCAATCGCAGCGTGGTGCCGCGGTGCCCCTGGCCCAGGTGGCGCACGTAGCCTCCCAGCAGGCGGCCGACCTCCTCAGCGGCAGCTGGAGACCAGATGATCACCTCCTTGCCAGCCAGGCGTGTCCAGCAAGCGTCCGATGCGGACGAGCAGAGGATGAGCCACATGTCCGTCGCCTCTGCGGCAGGGAGCGCCCGCGAAAGTTGCGCCGGCGTCAGCCCGAGATGATTCGAGCACTGCGTGCCGACCACGCTGTTCTCCGGCCGCAGGGTGTCGAGGAGTGTGAGGCCCATGGCCCCGAGCTCCTGGCAGAGACGCCTCGAGGGAGCACTGAACCCTCGACGCCCCCACGTACTCGCCAGCTCCCGTTGGATGGTGTCCGCGGCGGCCGCCAACCGGCGCATGCCCTCGTCGGCCTGCTCGATGTCGGTCTCTGGCCACCGCTGGGCGTCCGCCAGGGTCAGCAGCGTGCGAGCGAGCTCAAGCCGCCGCTGCACTGCCGTCGACTGCTCCTTCGAGGAGCGAGTTGGGACGACCCCCAGCGCCATCCACGCATCAGTATGCTCGCTGCGGAAGCCGAGGTGGCGGAGCACGCCATCCAGCAACGCCCACGAGCAGATCTGGCTGCGAGGCGTGAGCTGCACCCTGGCACCGCTGGCTGCGGCCACAGCGAAGTCGCTGAGGAGGCAATCCTCCACGTAGGAGGCGAAGAGCTCGTCCGAGACGGTGATGTGCTGTGGCGCCGTGGCTCCAGCTGCTGCAGTTGCGGCCTCGCCCACCTGCAAAGACGCCATGCCTTGCGTGGCGCCGGAGTCGTCGGCCTCTGCGTCCATGCTGGCAGTGGCAGGCGAGGCGACCGCAGCCGCAGCATCCCGTGGAACGGGTAGCCCTGGCGGCAGCGGCGGCCTGGCAGCCGCAGCAGCGGCGGCGCCGCCGGGGAGCGCCTGCCCGCAGCGCCGGCATCGGCCCTGCTCGTCAGCCGAAGCCGGGAGCGCCCCGAAGAGGGGGCAGGCCGAATGGGCGCAGGCCATGCCGTCGGTCGAATGTGGAGGGGTTGGGAGAGCGGAAGGAGAAAGAAGCCAAAACGCGCCCTGTGCGCGGGTACTTGGGGCCGGCCCGTTTGAGCCGGCCCGGTCTTGAGCCATTCACATCCACCATCCGTAGCACCCCAACATGGTTTCCAAAACGTGTCCAAACTTGTTCATATTGCGGGTGTTTGCGCGCGTAAGTAGCCCCAAGCGGAACTGAAAACCCACGATGGCGGCGTGCACAGTGGCCCAAGATATCCAAACATGGTTCCAAATAACATCCAACATGCTCGAAAACGCCCCAAGACGGTCGCAATATGGTTTCCCATGCCCTTCAAGTTCTCCAAGGGTCTCTTCGAAATAGGCAACATTGCTCCAACACCTGGGACAAACCACTGTTTTTGTACCTTTTCGCCTGTTGCCTTTTCGCTTCCGAATGGCCTCGGAGGCCTCAAGATGACCCCGATATGGCCTCAGAGGGCCCCAGAAGGGGCCCAAAAGAGCCAGCTCGCTAAGTCTCATGTGTTGCTCCAAAAAGCGTTCTGGGAAGGCATTCGGGGAGGGCGCCCAGACGCCCTTCGAATCCCACCAGCACTTCGGGTTGAGGTCGTCTAACGATATCTTTCTTTCGCCTTCCAAGACCCTCGTCCCTTCGGTCAGAAAATACCACCCTCCCTCTCTCTCTATATTTATATATACATATATACATACATGTGTATGAAAATAAAACATATGTGTTGGGACTCTTCGTTGTTTTAAACTTTGAGGAGGGTGGGCGCGATGTGGCAAGAATTTCTTTTTCGCCCAAGATTGCTCCAAGAGGACCTCCGATGTTCCAAAGCGGCCTCCAAAGCGGTTCAAGGTAGTCCAAACTGGTTCCATATAGCTCCCGACGTGCATCCGAGAATGCCGACGAAGGCCCCAAAACGCTTCCAACTGCCCTTGGAGCCTTCCTTTCCTCCGTTTCCTCCTTCTTCCTTGTTTGGGGGGGTTTCCAACGGTCACTGCGCCTGTTCAAGGGAAGTCGCCTGCTGATAATTTTGGGTGACATGGTGAATATGCGCGAAGCGTCAACAACTCTGAATGTCTGCTTGCGCCGTCTTGAGGCTGTCTTTGCGGGAGGGCCCTTTTGGCGCTCTTGGGGGCCTCCTGGGTTCTCTTAAGGCGCCTTCGGCGCTCTTGGGCTGTTTGGGGCACCCCCTTCAGCCGTCTGGAACCTCTCGAGGCCGTCGTGGGGATCTCTTCGTGCAATTCTGTCTTGGCGTCCTCTTGGGCCGTCTTGGGGCCCGGTTGGGCCATTTAGGGCTGATCGTGGGAACCTTAAAGGACGTCCTGGTGTTTAGTTTAGCCTGACCCAAACTGCGACAACTTGGAATTATAGAGGAGCCGTGGGACTCTGTGAGGCCCTGGAGAATGTCTGGGGCATTCTTGGAGCTTGTTGGGCCGTACTTAGATCCAATCGGCCAGCCTTCCGAACAGCTCGGGCCGTCTGGGGAAGATCCTGGACCCCCAGGAGGACGATGTTATGGTCGGGGTCCCCGTCTGACAACCCTGGCCCCGCATACTGTGATGTTCCCTCTTGCGTATATATTTGACATGCGTGTGTACACGTGTGTATGTATGTATGTATGTATGTATGTATGTATGTATGTATATATGTATGTGTCTATATAGACACCAGCGTATGTATGTATGTCTGTATGTATATGTATGTATATATATATATGTGTGTACGTACATGTATACGTGTATATGTATATATATACACATATTCACACGTAGTTGTATATTTATGTGTATGTGTATCTGTGTATGTCTATGTTTATGTAATGTAATTGTATACATGTACATGTACACATATATATATATATATATCGATCTATGTGTACCGAAATCGGCACCGAAAGAAAACTGAAAACCCGCGTATCTCCAAATGGCTTGTGAATCTTTGCCGCGCAGTGAATCGATGGAACTCGGGCAAACCGATCATCCCCGAACATCTCGTGGAAATCCGATCAATGTCATGCTTCCTCGACCAGGCCGATGCAATCCGGCACGCGCGCAGATCCGTGCGGAACTCGGTCCCCATGTGAATAGGCATTTCGGCGATAGGCGAGCAAGACGTGTTTTCAGGTGACCTCACGACCGTGATGACGTTACATGAGCAGCACGGCAACAATTCTGTCAATAGCGGTGTGGCCTCTACGGCAAGGGAGTAGTAATTTATTTCCGCATGCGAACGGACATTGAATCCCACCATCCCTTGTGGACGCGAGTTGTTCAAAAGGTTTCCTCTTCCAACCCGCTTCCCCTTGGGGGGAAGGTTTACCCATTTCCCCCCCGCCGGGGTTGGAGGAGGAGTTCCGCGGGTTGTTGGAGCATCCAAGATGGCTTCGGCGAGAAAACAAGAGTCATTGATTCTATTTAGGCTTTGGGCCCATTTTTGCCTTCTGGGGGCGAGGTGGGGCGCTGATCTGGTCCCCCCTTCTTTGATCGAGCTCTTCCAAAATGGCTCCAAGATGGCCCGCAAGGCTCCCAAGAATGCCCTAAGAAGCGCCCAGGAGGCCCCAAAATGTGCACAAGAGGCTCCCGGGAGACCCCCAAGAGGCCCCAAGAGGCTCTCCCGAAGCACCCAAGACGCTTCAAGAAGCCCCGGACCATTAAGAGGCCCCCAAGACGCCGCAAGAGACCTAGAAGAAGCTGTCAAGAGACATCCGAATAGACCCCGAGAAGCATCTAAGACGCCTCTGGCCTTCCTGCTTGCCTTCCTCCTCCTCCTCCTCCTCCTCCTCGTCCCCCCCCTCATCCGCCTATTCCTCCTCCAGCTCCCGCCTTCCCCTTCCCCTCCCCCTCTCCCTGCTCCTCCTCCTCCTCCGATTCCTCCTCCATCCTTTCCCTCATGTGGTATGAGAATCTTGCTCAGCCCTTTATTCCACCGCGTGCTCCTCCACATCCCTGATCAAGGCAGCTCGTCTAGGCATCGTTTCTGGATGGGCTGGCGGGATTACCCGAAGCGTTTAGAAATTGTTCAATGCTTCCGAATGAACTCCACCAGCCTTCTGGGCGAGGTGGATACAGGGACAAGCTCTTCCAAGCCCATTCTTCGAGTTCGCGGAGGAGTTCATCCCTCCCCACGCTCCCCTGGAGGCGAATGTGCAGAAGGTCCGTTTGGACCCAATACGTCTCCAAGATGGTTTCATGTAGCATCCAGGATGACGCAATATGGCCCAAATTGGGCGAAGGCAATATCCAATATGCCTTCAAAAACCGTCCTGAACCTGCCTGCATCGTCCACACCGTTATGTGCTCTCGTCGTGGTGACGAAGCAATTGCTATTCTGATTGTCGTCGTCACAGCTGCAAGATCTATCTATGAGACTGCTGTGATATCTACACGGGTAAATACGGTTGCCGGTATTGGGCCAAGGGTAAGGGGACGGAAAACTACTGGTACACAACGATACAAATGCCAACGCATCATCATCACAACACTCACGCTTCAGAAGTGCAATCACAAACATTGACACTGTGATGGACGGGCGCAATCCGGGTACGCCCAGAGGGTAGCAGCAAGTGCTGGTAACTTCTGTAGGTCTGAAGCCAATTGTTTGCAGGTAAACTAGCTGGTATATTTCCTCACCCTCCTGTGTTGGGTTTCCGATTTGAATAAAGCATTGTGGTCGCGTCTTCCCACCCTCCCGCGCCATTCCTCCTGCCTCCTTCTCCTCTCTCTCCCTCCTCCTGTTCCCTTCTGCATCCTACCTGTCTCCTACCCTGCCTCCTGCCTCGCCATCCCTGGGAAGCCGCGAGCTGCGAAACTGTTGTCCCTTTCGAAAACTGCTGGGGGAGACAACGGAATGGGGCGGCTATGGGGATTCAGGTTAGACCTCGCCGTCCCTCGGGGGCTGCGAACCGTGAAGCTGACGCCATTTTCGACAGCTGCTGGGAGGTCTGGCGAAGTGGGGGGGCGACGTGGACCCATATTAGATCTCGCCATCCCAGTGGGGCTGCGAACTGCGAAACCGTCGCCACTTCCGACAACTGCACAGGTGTCCAACGGAACGGTGGGGCTACGGAGATTCACGTTAGACCTCACCATCCTTCGGGGGCCCCGAACCGTAGAACGGTCACCACATTCGAGGGCTGCTGGGAGGTCCAACGGGATGGGTAGGCAATGGGACTCAGATTCGACCTCGCCATCCACGGGGGGCTGCTAACCGTAAAACTGTCGCAACTTTCGAAGGAGGTCCGGCGGGGTGGGTTGGCTTCGGGGGTTCAGTTCTGCCTCGCCATCTCTGGGGTGCTGCGACCTGACACACTGTCGCCACTTTCGAGGCCCACTGGGGGGCCGACGCAATGGCGTCGCACGGGGGTCCAGATTCGACCTCGCTATGCCTGAAGGGGTCCGAACTGCAAAATGGTTGCATTGTTCGAAAGCTGCTGGCTTGTCAGAACGGTCACGTCCTTTGGGGACGAAGATTCGACCTCGCCTTCCTGGGGGGCTGCGTGGTGCGAAATTCTTGCCACTTTCGATGGTTGGTGGTAGGCCGACGCAGTGAAATCCTATGACGACCCATATTCAACCTCGCCAGCCCGTGGGGGCTGCGAGCAAGTGCGCGCACCCTGCGACACTGTCGCCGTATTCGACAGTTTCTGGAAGGTCCAACCGAGTGGGTGGGCTACGGGGATTCGGATTCGACCTCGGTATCCCTCAGGGCTGCGAAGTTCGAAACCGTCGCCACTTTCGAGGGCTGATGGGAGGTCCCACGATGTGGGGCGGCTATAGGGACCCAAACTAGACCTCGC